ATTTTATTATATATTTATTATATGTTATTTGTAACATTAAATAAAAATATTTTTTTAAAATACTTATAAGCAATTTAATAGGTGTAGCAGTTGGAGGATGTTTGTCTTATCAGAGAAGATATTTTAAATTCACATGTTTGGAAAATTTCTTCACATTGTTATATGTAATCAAAACATTTAGTCTAAAAAATATCGGAAGTTTGTAAATAAAATTCAGTATATATACTGAAAGAAAAGTTTTATAGATTCTTAAGGATATTAATAATTTTGTTAACAAACAGAAACACTTGTGTATTAGCCTGATTGTAGCATTAATGAACTCGCGGGTTTAGTTGTACTTCGTTTCATAATTGAATTAATTAATGGTTGATATTTATTATACAGCCCTTGAAGCATGTCGTTTTATGTATACATTTATCTAAGCCTCAAATAAACATTTTTAATAAGAAAGGGTTCTATAATTTTTCGCCATGATGTCGTTCTTCATGACATGGGTTAGAATATTCCCGATATAAGGTAGGGTTAACGCAAATGGAGACTAGAAAAACCCATCTTGTAGGTTATATACTGTTCTATTTTGGAGTACAACTAGTAAGATATAGATTTTAACTTGCAATACCTCAACAAAGCTGAAATTTGATACCACAGAATTCAGTTGCCTGGATATATAGCTTACTTCTCATATGAGGTTTGTGATGACTATGGTTAAATTTACATAGAAACACTTTTAGCATTTTTATATGCGCTGAATGTGGAGCTACATCTTTTCAAATGCGCACTGTGACTCAAGGAATGCTTTACGTTTAGATGAACCTTGGTCTTCAACAAGAAAAAAGTTATAAGTAAATCCAAACATGCAATAGATATTGGTGGAATTTTCTCCAATAGAGCGGCTGTTGTTAGATTATCCGTGAAAGTGTATTGAGAAAACCGTTGTGTTGATCCCATATGGCAAATAACCAAAGTAATAGAATTGAGAAGCTTAAAGAAGTAAGAGAGCTTTTAAAAAAAATAACCTTTTTTGATTAAATTTAATAGAGAGGTTACGAATAGTAGTTAATTGGAACAACAGCATTTTTTGTGTTTTTAATTAATTGAGTTTTTGTCTGACCATACAGCTGTTCCGAGTATTGTCAAATACCTATCATCAGTGGTCTTCGAATTATTTCTTATATTTAATTATTTATAAATAATTTTTTGAAACTGCAAATAATAAAGATTGAACTCGTACTCTGCCAATTTTGAGGTTCAGAGTCAGTTTTCATTAGTCAAATGACCCTAAGCCGTACTTTTCTGAAGTCTGCGAAATTGAAGTTTTGTTAATTTACAGTTAAAATTCATTAATAAATAGACTTGTTGTGTTATATTGGAATAAAATCATAACGAAACCTGTTTTAATTGTAGAATATTATCTAACTTTAATTAAAGCACTTAGTCGGTTGAACATTGTGCCCAAATCGAAAAAAGAAATAAGTGCCTGAATCAGAATAGACTAGTCTAATCTGTAATTCTTAGTTTTCTTGATTAATCTGGAAAGGTCACGTAAAAAGTTCGCATAAAAATCATTGAAGCCCATATGGCAAGTAACTGTGATACAACTGTAGTTTCATATAGCATTGGGAATATTTATAACAAAAAACTAAATAAATAAATAGACTAACAATCTTAGAAATAATTTTTATTAAAATTCAACAAAAATGTTTGTTTTAAAAAATTAAAATATGGTAAGTCTCTAAATAAGGACATCAGATATAAACAGAAAGTGAATTCAGAGCACAAATACTAACACTTAGTGTTCTTAAGTGTAGAAATAATACTGTTATCCTATTGTCATCTAACTAATTTTTACGATAAAATATTAGTCTAGACGAGTTTACAAGAACGTAAAGAACATATTATGTCTGCTACTAAGAACCTTATCTAATATTGTTTTTATTTATAAATAGAATGGAAACAAAGAGAACTTAATTTCGATAAAATATTTTTATTATTTTCATTACATCAATATACATATACATTCATATTAAAATATAAAGGATATTACAATTTAATTTTTTTTTAAATTTTATTAATTATTTGTACTTTAACATGAAACAGAGCTGAATCGTATTGGCTCCGGAAACATTTTACAGACATTGTTTTTACAGCTTTTATTAACTCATTTCAGGTTTTTGTTTTAGTATTTCCCATATTTTTTCCACAGGATGTTATGTCCTGCAACATTCAACTACCCACATTTTGGAGTCTGTTTTCATTTGCCACTTTCACTGAAATGGAAATGTCTGGATTGCATATTCTGCCAACTCCAGCACTGTTTATTGTGAAATATTTTTGTTAAATAGACCATAAATGAATATCTGGGAAGACATAAGATAATAAAGACTAAGATAATAAAGAATAATGTAAACTGCACTGCTACTGTCTTTTCCAAAAATAAGTTCGTTCTCGGAATATATGAAAATACACGTGATGTCGAGCGAGAGAGCATATAAAATCAATTATATTTATTCAATCTTTTCAACTACAAACAAAACAAGCCACAAGTACATGTCTTTAAGAGAAAAATGTATTTAGAAATTGTTTTTTTTGAAATTCTTCAGCATAAACAGAAATCAGAAATTTGTTGTTTTTTATTAGTGCTGTTATCGAGCACATTTACTGGTTTTGACCATTTTCTTTTGTTAGATATCACTTTTGCCGAATGTTTAAAGTTTTGGTGCTGTTAGCTGATAATTTTACTTTCTTGTACAGTTTTTATTTTAGTTAAGTAGCAAGAGTAATTGTATTTTACTAAAATAATATAATATAATATATACTATTTATAGTAATCACATAGAAGTTTTAAATACTTTGTTTAAAATTTATAGGAGAATGTTTTGTGGAGGGTTCGCTATATTAAATTTTTCTTACACTATAAGGCTGTTTTAAATATTTGAATATTATTATATACGTAAATAATTTAAAACATATAAATTAAATATATATAAACTATTTATTGAAATAAGTTTAATTTTATATATACATTTATATATATTTAAATATTTATATAAATCTCAATAAAAATTATTGTGGGGTTTTAATATGCAATTTGTGTTGGTTTTACGAAATGGTTATTATAATTAGTAATGTTTTACTTCGTTTTTAGGAGAAATTGCATTATCCCAATTAGTGTCTACTAATTGCGTACTAATGTAATAATGAATAATTTGGAATAATTATTTAAATTGCAATTAAAAAGTTTTATTTTTAGGTTATGTACAGGAGCATAGTCTCGTTGCAACACATGCAGAATAAAATTTTTAACTAAAATGATTATATTTTCTGAAAATATCTCATAATGAATAAAATATTAAATACAATTATATGCATATATTGTGATGTATGTACACTTATACAAAGGATAAATAATACAAAGATTTTAAAATATTTCATACATTTTTCATAAAGTAATATATGAGAGAAATGCTAACAGATAAATTGGATAAGTACTGTGAATATTTTCTATTCAATTGGCTATCCTTAGTATATATGTGAATAGAAATATATAAATTTATTTAATAATAATAATAATTTATTACTTGCTTATATGCTTAATATTATTTATTAAATTGATGCCCGCTGCGTAGAAGGGGTCAGAATTTTCTCGCAGTTAGAATTGTCAGTCATAGGAGGCGGTTAAAATTGCAGTGCCAGTCTGGCACTTGTGTTAGGAAGTACTTGCAACGCCTGACCAGAGGTGAAATTCTTGTACTACTTCTGGCCAAGCTCAGTTGGCCCGCAGCTTCTGCTGTTCTGACCATATGAGGTTGGATTCGTTGTGGCTGTGGTTAAACCCAAACTTACACGGGTAGAATGTTCAGGTGTTTATCATTAATTCGACGTGGAGTTAAGTATTCACCACCGGGTGCTACAGCCCACATTATAACAGAGGTTTATGATAGGTCTCGATCAAACCAAGTTGAAAGATTTGAGTAACACACATATCTTCATTGGTACCGGCGAAATAATACATACAATTTCAATGGGGCGTTGATTGAGGCTTGGTACTAATACATTGTATATTTGAACACAATAGTGTTAGGCCTCCAGGCGTTGAATGCTACGTAAAATAATATAGGAAGCTTATTAAATTGATGTCGCCTACTAAAGTCAATCATCAAATGGCTAAGGAATTTCCTCCGTTGGCAATTGATGAAAGACAAAAAGTACTAATATAATAGTACTTTTTTTCCGTTGAAAGTATTTCAATCTAATATATGGAAAATGCAAGGGATTTTCTCCTTTCTTAGAACAGTTTTCCATATACAGTACTTTTCTGCTGTTTCTGATGGTTTATTCATCACATCTTATTATTATTATATATCATCATCTTTTATTGAAACTACAATTTTACGGATAAGCCATAACAACTTCTGAGCTAGTGTTGTTATACCTATAATAATAGTACTGGAATTAATACAAATATAGTACCTAGCATCTCACATTTACTTGAATCCGAATATTTCCAATTGATCGAATATGAGAAATCTGTTACTTTTTTTACGTTTAATTTTATACTATAGAGTCACCCTCTGTTAATATTCAAAAATTATAGAATTTAATTATAGTATTTAACTTAAAACTAATAATGATAAAAGCACTAATATACAATGCAATCAAGGATTGTAATCTGTAATAGTAAACCATATAAGCCATAAAAGGTAACTACTATAACTCTATGGCACGTTATTAGATACCTTTCAAATTATATGTCTGGTATTCAAAAAATGGATTCTCTCTTGGCGGTCAGATTTCTTAACTATGTTTTAATTCTTGCTCTTGAAGAGAATTATATCCTCAAGCTTTTATTCTATGAATTACAAATTATTATGATCAACAAATTGGGTGCCTACCATTTTAATTCTATTAAAAACAAATAAACTTTTTTGATTTTTAACACATCTAATTTAATTTATTATACATTTAATTTTTTTGAAATATTATATATATAATGTGTTAAAATTTTTTTTTTAAATTTTAATTCTGCAAAGCGTTCCCCACAACAAAACTCCTCTTATGTTTCTTCAATGTAATACGAAATATGTCGCCAGATACATATGTGATTCACACAAAGTACACTGGGAAGTGGTCCATAATGCCACTCTTCTTAGCTTCTTGCAGACCATTTATAGTGCTGTAGAAACAACTTATTGAACGTCCAGATGACATTAAAATAATTTTAATGTGAAATAGATTATTATTTGCGATATTAACAATTATACCAATATCTTTGGGATCGTACTCTTTGATAAATTTATATATCACATGTATTATACGTTCATCATAAACTGGAAGATAGCCATTCGTACAATACAAACAAGTTTCTTTTAAGTTCGAATAAATGTGTGAGAAGGTGGTTTGTACATCTCTGTTGCAGTGACCGACTTCTTCACGTTCCACAGATTCTGATTCAGATGTATCTGAAGTGGGTTGTAACTCATCTGCGTGATCAAAATATTTCTTTAAGTTTTCAGCTTCTTTATTGCTTTTATATGTTGGTATTTCAACCTCTGAACCACTAGACGATGCAGGGTACACCAAACGTTCTTGTATAATGCAAGTACACGGCACCGGTGTAACTGTGTCTTCCTTCACGAAATTCACTTTTTTCTTTTGACAAGGATTAGTGGTTTTTTCGTTTGTAGGTAAAACTGAATTGTTCACTTCAGGAACAATTTTAGGAACTGAGGTTTGTGTAATGGCATTGGATGTTGAAACATTGTGGATATTATCATTAACATGGCTCGATGTTGTCGAACTAAATGTAAATGAAGAAATTTGGTCATCATGCTTTTTCTCTTTCTTAGCGATCTGACTTATTTCTGAGGAGCTTCGGAAAACTCGGTGTTTCTTATTTTCTTTCTTTTTGTCAGATAGAGAATCATCACTGGATATTGATAGATTTACTGATTCAGAGCTTTTATGCTGTTTCATTTTTTTGTTTTTGTTGGAGCCAGAAAGACTGGACGCTAGTGAATTATGCGGAACTCGACTGTTGGCTCTTTTCTTACTATTAATAACGTAGTCACTTGTAGATGAAGTAGTTTGAGGTGTTGGTTTATCTTGTTTTGGCTTTCTAGCGGTACCGTGTAGAAATTTTACATAATCTCGTACTGTAAACACCATTGATGTGATTAAATGTTCTAATTTGGATATCGAAGAACGAGTACGTTCTTTTTCTGCAGCTCCTTGATGTGATTTATTATTCGTTCTTATATTTTCCGCTTTAGCTTTACGTTGCTCTGTATAGACTTTAGTGGGGTGGGGCGAAACGGATGGTTTGATTATTTGTGATGTATTTAGTTTTCGAATGACAGGCAGTTTTTTTGGTTTATCTAAATATTTCTTTTCATAAGATTCTGTATCTGTAGTTAACTTTTCAAGTTCGAGAAAAGGTTTGTTTACGTATCTATTAGTGTTCAAATCTTCCACAGTAAAAATAAATGCTCTTCTGTTTTCGCCGTTTGAACCGAGTTTTTTAAGATGAACGAATTTTGGTGGATCTAACATATCTGATTCAACATGACTCGATTCATGCATGCTAGATGAACTTGGAGAGGTATTCTTTATCTCTGAAATCTGATTAATATTACTTTTCTTTTTCGTCGACATATTCTGAGGATGAGTTGAAAGAGGTGGAGCTTTTATTATTTCTATAGCATTTGAATCACTATCAGAAGATATTAATTTCTCATCCAACTGCATTTTTTTTTCGTTCACAGATTTTTTGCTTAACGACAATTTGTTTATGTTGTGTGATAGTTCTGGTTCCGCTGCGTCTGGTTCCATAACACCAGATGTTTGAATGGCAGTCAACTTAATTGTAGCTTCAGTCAATCTATTATATTCACAACCTTTCTCAGAATCTTTGCTAGTGAACAAATTGTTTGTGGTAGAGATTGGTTGTTCACTATTTGTTAACTCCTTAATAGTTGCAAAATTGATTGTTTTCTCTCTGCTTAGATTTTTCTCCACGAGCTTGTCATCAAGGTTTGCAGCTGTTGGGGTTTCAGTTAAAACAAAGTTAATCACTTTTTCGAGGCTTGCATGTTTGCTAATGGTCTCCTTATTGTCTACATCTGCAGCAACATCCCGTGTAAAAACTTTTTGCCAAACATCTTCAAAAAGAGTAGAAGAAATACTAGACATCTCCAATTCAGATTCCTGTGATAGTGTGCAAATATAATAAAAGGTGAGATACGCACTATATATTATATACTTAAAAATAAGTGAAAGAGTGAATGAATCAAGCTTACCATAGGATGATCGATGGAAATTTCTGCGACACTCGATACAATGCCATGATGATCTTGCAATTCTGTTAAAATGGCACTTAATTTCACATTTGTGGTTTTTACTTCAGATGAAAGTATTTCAACTCGCTCCACAACTGCTTCCATTTGTTGAGTTAGATGAGTATAAGTTGAATTTGCTTCATAAACATCTATCTTATTGTCATTTTCACTAACTATCAGTTTATTAAGCTCAGATTTCTCAACAGAAGGGCTTTGGCTTTCACCATTGGATTCTGTGATCAAGGTTTGATCAATATTAATTTGTGAACCATCAGGACGATTCCGTTTATTTTCCTCGATTTTACATTCGTTGGGAATTTGCTTTTTCTTTACTTGCGCATTACGTGAAAGCTTTTTAGTTACCACGTCCATTTCACTTTTGTTTGAAATTTTTTCTTTCTCAACTTCATCATCGTATGGAAGATCTGGTTTTTCCTCACCGATTTCACATTCAAAAGGTTTTTGCTCTATTTTACTTTCTTTATCAGTTGAATGGTCCCGTTTTTTTTCTCCAAAACTGGTTTTAATAGAAAATATTTCTTTTTTAATTTCCTGCTCTTCTGGATGTTTAGATTTTGTCTCATCTTTTTCGCATTTGATTGAATCCTCTTTTTTCTTTATTTGTACTTCATCTCGAGGTTCTCGATTTTTTTTATGGATTTTACATTTATTTGACTGTTCTTTTTCTTTGACTGCGTTCTTTATTGAAGTGTATTCCTTTCCAGCATGTACATGAGCTGAACCCTTATGTTTTCTCCTTTCGATTCCAGATTTAAATAGAGTCTGTGTTTGTTTAGTTGCAAATGCATGCAGGGACTTTTCCTCTTTTTTTATTATTTTTTTTGTATAACATTTATTGGATATATTTTCTGTCTTTTCCTCTTTTGGTATTTTAAAATAAGCGGGTAAATAGTCTGGAAGCTGATATCCTTGCAACGTTTTCTCTTTGGGATTAATAGAAGTTAAGTTTGTGTTAGCTTGAAGAAATGGGTCATCTCTTGGTGTGTGCAATATATTAATGTTTCCATTTTTTCTTACTTTCGGTGATTTTGCGGCGAAGGTTCCCTGCTTTTTAATTGGCGCTTTACAATGGAAACGTTGCTTTTTACGATCCCGCTTATCCTTGCAGTGCTTTATGGATATTTTGTACTTCTTAGTTAGTAACTCAAATGAATCAGTTGAGAATTGTCTAAACTTTGGTTCCGCTGTGAAATATTTAACAAATTAATAAATTTTTATGATAATTATAGTAAATACAATATATATTTTCCTCACTAAAAAAATTGGATTATTTTTTTCAGTGGCGTATTTAGGTTTGTGCTAGGAGGAAGAAATATTAGTAAATATTTTTTTGGCACTGTTATTCAATTATTATTATATATATTATATTTGAGTTATATACATTGTTGGGAGAGCGGAAGGTTCTGTTTCTTAACCATCTCTACCCTGAATACACCACTGGTACTACTGATATAATAATTAACTCCTCTTACTCTTGACTTTTGCAATAGTTTTATCTTTTTTCAAGGTATTGGGTTCTGCATCTACAAATTCATCGCTATCGAATGATATGACTGTTGTGGGAAAACCATTAGCTATTAAATAGTCCAAAAATTATATCAATATAAAGTAATATAATTTTAAGAAATATATTATATTGAACAAATAAATGTTTAAATGATGTCAGAATATGCTTGCCTTTCTTAGTTGTCTCTGAAATTTTGATTTGTGAAGTTTGATTTTTAATTCCAACGTTGTTAGGATCCTTACTTGGCCAATATCTGTGCCGACCTGGTATTTGTTTTTTAGACAAATCAACATTTGCGATATGTTCTTGTATGAAACGGTGTTTCTCATAGAATTCTTTAGAGTTTATTAATCCAGTTTTACGTGGAGTAGGTCGAAAAGTAATAACGACTTCCTCGATATCGGACTCTGAACAACAAGTATCAATATCAATATTGCACTTCACCATGATAATTTCCCTTCTTATTGCATTCACAGAATGATTTTGACATGTATCAGTTGATTTAGATCACTCCAAAATATATAGTAAATTTAATCTCGGCAAAGGAAGAACCCGAATTAAAATTAATCTCTCTACAAAACAAATTTAAATTTCAAAAAAATTAAAATATTTACGGTTGTAAAAAAACGAAATTTTGACATATATCTAAAAATATATGAAATTTTGTTTTTAAAATAAAAAAGTTAAATTTAACAAGTAAGAAATCACTTTATATTTTTTTGAATTAGACAATGATGCAGTAGTCTGTCTACGAACGATATAGAATTGTGTGATATGTTAAAATTACTTTTCCATCTAGAAGAAATTAATCTCAAAGACTCTAGAATTGATTCTTGAGATTAGACCCTTGCCAACAAAAGTCTTGTCACGTAGTCTGAATAGGTATTTGGATCTTTTTATCTATACTTATGGAAGGTAAAAATATCCAAGCATTTTAAAATTTCCTATGCACTTCCCTAGACTTGGTTTCAGAACAAACAGCGTTTTACTGCAGTGCTTCCTGCATACGTAGAGACACTCCGAATTCCATTTTCATTGTGGAAGTTTCAAGAAGTTGTAGTCGGTACAAATATTCATGTACTTTTCCAAGTTTGACTATCAGCAGAGTACGGTTTTTTACTGAAGTATTTTTTTGACAGCCTGTCGCAGTGTTTATCGGTATGGATGACGATCTGTAAAATTACTGGCGTACACCAGCAGAAAAACTCTGATTTCTCTTATTTATTGTGGAAATTATGGAAACCTACAAGAGGAATAAAAAAATTAAGTATTTCTCCTATGCTTCTTCTTATGTTTTAGCTCTCATAAAAACAGGTTTTAGTGAATAATATCTTTGAGAATTTGCTGGACTGTTCATCAACAAGGACAAAAAATTTATTAATTTATTTAAATTTATATTCTTTTGTCTAAATGTATTAGTAAAACTGCAAATAATCGTTTTTCAATGGTTGTGGAGGGATATCCTAATACTGACGGGTCTCCATCTACTCACCTGGCACTGCAATCTAACAACTATTTAATTTTTTATCATATAAAAATTAAAAATTTTAATTATAAAAGGATATAATTATATTTCTTTTATGTTTAAGTAGGAATAAAGTAAAAAAAAAAAACTATAAATTATTATAATGTAAACATTTTATCAAAATTTTTTTCCAATTATTACAAATTGATAATTCATGTCTCCTTGCAAAAAATTTTAAATCGGTTTGTTTTAATATTGAAGTATGAATAAATTATTTTTAAAATAATTTTTTATTTATTTTTATTATTTCTGAAACTTAATACAGTTATATAAATAAATTTTTTTAAAATAATTTTTTACTTATTTTTATTATATTTGGAGTTCAATACAGCTATATAAATAAATTAGTTTTTAAATAATTTTATATTTATTTTTTTTTATTTCTGGAACTCTGAAATTGGTGCATAAATGAGTTATTTTTTAAATAATTTTTTATATATTTTTTTATTTCTGGAACTCATATATTTGAATATGTGAATGAATTATTTTTTAAATAATTTTTTATTTATTTTTTTATTTGTGGAACTCTGAAATAGGAACATGAATTAATTATTTTTTAATGACTTTTCATGTACTTTTATTATTTCTGGAATTCAAAATATCTAACATAAATGATTTATTTTTAAACTAATTTTTTTTTTTTTATTTCTGGAACTCTGAAATAGGTACATAAATGAATTATTTTTTAAATAATTTTTCATGTACTTTTATTATTTCTGGAATTTAATGCAGCTATATAAAAGAATATTTAAAATAATTTTTTATTTATTTTTATTATTTTTGCAATTCAAAATAGCTAACATAAATGAATAATTTTTAAAATAATTTTTTATTTATTTTTATTTATTTTTATTATTTTTGGAATTCAATACAGCTATATAAATGAATTATTTTTAAAATAATTTTTTATTCATTTTTATTATTTTTGCAATTCAAATTAGCTAAAATAAATGAATTATTTTTAAAATAATTTTTTCTTTATTTTTCTTTATTATTATTATTTCTGGAATTCAATAAAGCTATATAAATGAATTATTTTTAAAATAATTTTTTATTTATTTTTATTATTTTTGCAATTCAAAATACCTAACATAAATGAATTATTTTTAAAAAATAATTTTTTATTTATTATTTTATATTTCTGCAATTCAAAATAGCTTTTTAATTACAATAATGAAATTATGTTTAATTCAATGTTGGTTTTGAATGTTTTTGATTTCGAAGTTCTTTATTCGATTATTTAAAATTCAAAAATAGTTTGTGTATCGCATATTAAGTGAATTATTTTGTAATTTGACATAAAATTTGCTTTACGCATACATAAATCAAGTTTTCATTATCTGTCAATGTCAATCTCGACATTTGGTGAGATTAGTACGAATCAAAATGAAACTCGAACTGGGAATGCGACCAAATAACCACAGATACTTCTAACAAAAAGTTGCAATCAAAGGATGATTTTAGTTGAAAATTTAATTTTAATCCATAAAATCGCTGCAATTCGTGTTTGTACTACAAATCGATTTGGAAAGTATAGAAAAATGGCGAAATTCCCGCTGAGGCACAGATTATTTATTATCAGTTAAATAATGAGATAACCAAAAATCAGTGTAACTGTCAATATGTCATAAACTGCTTATCGCAAAAATAGCATATAGCTGACCTAATGATATCCCCGAGAGTTCAGATACATCATAATTCCCATGCAGTACGAGTAAAAACACAAAGAAATATACGAAATGAATTCATTGGCAAATAAATTGAAATATTTTTCCAATGAAACGTAATAAAGCCAGAAATTAATTAGTTAAATATTTCCGTAAAATGATTTATGCCCTTTTCGGTTCGCATATTGGCATACGAATTAAAATTGGCTTAAATATTTTGTAGCACATTTTGTGAGTTGGTAGTAAATTTCATTTATTGCAAATTTATGTGTTAAATTAATTAAGAAGGTTTGTTTTTTTTTTCTTTATTAAAATCAATTTCAGCTGTCAGCTTTTAAAACTGCAAGAGTGAAACTCTTTACGAATCAACTCGGAAGATAAATGAACCTGGCCAAGTCAACACATAACAAACGATTCCAACAACAAATGAGTAAACAAAGCAATCACGGTACCTCTTCAACATACAACCTCCATGTACATCCTCCATGTATCTATATATACATATAAGTGTCTATATATGTGAATATATAGATGTGTAGTTGCAGTGTTACTTGCACGTTTCTGTTCAAGAAATTCCTTCAATGCAATAAAATTTGCACCAAAAAAAGGACATCAACAAAAGTGCTGCATACTAAGTTCACTCGGAATGGCTTTTATATATGTGATATATATACTCTGTGTGTATATGTGTGTGTGTGTGTTTATATTTGTATATTTTAACCAATTTGACCCATGTGCAATTAAAATGGTAAATTGCAATCCTGTTGACTATTAATTTTAAGATATGTTAAAAACATACACACAAACGTGTTGCACTTACATGGTTTCATATAAAATGCGATTTGTACAGAGTTGGAACTGTTGTGGATGCAATAAATACTCGAAATAAAGATGAATTTGTGTTTAAGTTTAAATGGAAAATAAAAAATTATAAATTAATTGCTTAATTTCAAGGCAAAAGACGTCTGTAAGCTATAGTTGATTACTTTATTTGCATATAAAAGAATTCATTTAATATTAAATGCTGTAGAGTTTCATATAAAAACTAATAAAACTTGTTATTATATATCTCCCATACCTTGTGATCAAAAAAGAAAAAATTCCCGCGCTTATCCAATCGGTAAATTTTTTTTATTTTCATTCTGGCAATACTATTATATACATTCTGTCAAAGTTTAACGCATATCGTACGATTCGTATTTGTTTGGCGTCTATACAAAGAAGACGAATCGTCTGGCGATTTTTAGCTGAATTTCATTCAAAAAAAGCGTCGTTGTGATGTGGGCAAAGAGATGTTTTCCAACGCAGATAGTGACCTCACATTCATCGAACGCATCACAACTGGTGATGAGACATGGGTCTATGAATTTGACACGCCCACCAAAGAACAATCGACCGAATACCGAATGTTGCTTCGAAGGTGAGCCAAAACCGAAAAGAGAACGCCAAAGTCGGCCCAAAATCAAGGTTATGCTGACTGTTTTCTTCGATATTTGTGGTGTGGTGCACTATGAATTCCTTCCGGACGCTCAAAAGGTCAATAACGGTCAATATTCGCAAAAAGAGGCCAGATTTATGGAAGGAAAACTCATGAATTTTACACCACGATAACGCACCGACTCACACAGCGTTGGTTGTGTCGCAGTTTTTGGCCAAAATCATCCACCAATATCATCAACCAAGTACCGTACTCTCCAGATATGGCCCCGTGTGACTTTTTCCTCTTCCCCCGACTCAAATTGCCATTGCGAGGAACGCGTTTTGAGACCATAGAGGCCATAAAAGAGAATTCGCTGCGTGAACTAAAAGCCATACCTTCGGCGGTCTATAAAACTTGTATGGAAAATTGGATCAGTGCTATGTGCTATGTTCCCCATTCATGGTTTCTCATTTTATTGCTCTGAAACTGTGACAGTAAAGTACTTGTGATTGTAATTTTAAACAATTTTTTTTTAATATATTACCATTAGGCATGAAATTCAAAGTAACCATTTAGTTTTAAGCTAAGTCTAAAGAAATCTCAGGTTGGTCCCTAGAGAAATTATGCCATTCGACGGTGCTCGTACGCTGAACTCTAGTTAACTATGAACACACGCTAATTCAGTGCTGCTATAACAGGACACTATTTGAGCTTTAGTGAGATTCGGGCACAAGGCTGCTACACCAATCTAATCTAATCTATATGACACAAAACCTATTCTTGCAGTTTGCAAAAGTCAATTCATAAGTGTAGTCAAGTCAGACTTTTTTTTGGTGAAGTCCAACCATAAGCAGTCCAATTCTACTATGCGAATTACTTAAACAAGGAATAGCAAATAACTTCTAGATCTGTACAGATAGGATCTAAAAACAATGGTTAGAGCGTTAAATATCACCGAAGTTATCAATAGGTAAAGAAGCTTAAAGTGATCTGCAACTACCGGCAAGTGTAGCCCATTTACGAAAGAAATAAAAATATTTCTACATGCCATTGTAGTATGTTCTGCTCTTATACAATGTAGGAAAAGAATATTGTGTAAAAATGAATGTACGAATAAATTTGTCAAACATCGATTCGAATGAGATAAATCCATTTTAAATATAGCTAAGGTAACGTATATTTAACAATGCCTGAGTAGAGACTATGTATAGAAGATGCAGAAATATCCTAGTTCTATTCAATACAGAAGAAGATTTTTGCAAGCATAAATTGGTTGAATGTCAGAGTAACGAAAAATACGGGTATGGAGACATCTATTCAACAACGGATAAGTAAAGACTATATATATAGAAGACTCAGAAATGTTTTAACAAATTCTTGGAAAATGTCCTGTTGTTATATTGTCCGCAAAGAATTGATCCAAGAACTTGTGTGCTTAAACAATCACCTGAAACATTGGCCTTTGAAAGACTGGCCTTTTTTGAAGTCAAAAAAATCCATTGGTAATTATATATAGGAGAGGATAAAAAGGTTCAAGAGTGTTGACAAAAAAATTATTACAAAGGAATTCAAAATTCAAATTTTAATAAAATTGCAAAACTTTATTCGATGTGAAGTATTTGCTATTTATTCTGGTCAAAAACTTTTCAAACATCTTTCTTGTCTTATTATTCATATATCTTAAAGCTCAGTGTCAGTGAAGTATGTAAATTAAAAATTTAATAAAAAAATATTTCTGTATATGTCTTATCATTGTTGTGTTCTAATGACCAAATCAAGCAATCATTATTTAGTTTTTATTAACTACTTCCTCTTCCAGTCTTTCTAGGTATTCAGCGCCTAGAAATAGTATATATTTACCTATAAAACTGTCTGTATTTTTATATAAATTTGACACTAACCAACAGTTTTCTTTTCAATTTTTATAATTTTATGTAAATTTAATATATATCACATGTACATTTATTTCATTATATCGCTCTTTTACAAATATACAATATTTCCACTTAACTATTCTATAAATTTTTTTTTCGTCCCTACAACTATAAAATCCATCCTCTTGTATCAAACCCATGCTTACAGTTATTAGCATAATTTCCGCTTGAGCTCAACCGACAAGAGGATATGATTTATTATGGCATTGGCAGACTCCGGCTACTTATGCCGTCGAGACTAGTTAAAATTGAGATGAGTCGATAAAATTTTAAAATTATGTATTACTACTGCCAGTCTGATGTATTCGTATGTAGTTGAAAAGCAGTAGTTTAAGGACTCAAAGAAATGGAAACACCATAAATCATGGTATTTTGAGCAACCAATATAGACAAATACAAATGTTGCTATTAATGTTTAACAAAAAAAAAATAAAGGAAAAAATTTCAGCAAATTAAGTTTTAAGTATTAAATTTTTATTTATTAATAATAAATCACTTGGCAGTGTTCAAACACTTGAGATCATAATTCAATATTGAAATGAAAAGTGTTTATGGAATAATTTTTTAAATATTTAATAAGTAATTTTTATTGAATAAAAAGAAAATATTAAAAATAGAAAATAATGGGCGATATAAATAGGAAAAAGATATTTTTTTTGAGCCAAGAATTTTAAGCTGGGCGCTAGGCATAGGAAGTATGTTTAGTAACTAAATATGGGGTCATCTACTCAGGTCAGAACTTTTTAAAAGTTAAAGCATGGATAATTTTTCATAAGTGTATGATATTCCAAAAATAGTTTTTGTATTGTTTAATAATTTTGTTAATAGTTAATTTAGGTAATGATAATGATTATTGGTTGGTATCAATCTGCATTTTTATTATTATGTTGAGGAAAGTTGAGTCAGTGCACCTGAGCACTTTTACTCTATATTAACTGCGAGGTTTCATCAAAACCCCTCTTTGTGCCTTGACTGGATTATTATTTATCTCATCATCAGACTAAGTAATAATTGATCTCAGATCTGCATACCTCCCCGAGGAGCCGGTAACTATTCTGAGATTTGATAACGCGGTGTTACTAAGTCTGTCAGATTTCGCAAATAATTTCAAGGCTCTATCTTTTATGTATTTTTTGATGGGATCAATCTTGAGGTCCCTAAGGATGTCATTCGTCTTAATATACCAAGGAACTTTGAAAAGTCTTCTTAGAGCCTGACTTTGTACTATATTTAGGAGATATGGTGTTGGTGGTTCGAAAATTCAAGTGGAATTTGTGGAATTTTCATGTATTATACAATATAGAGTTCAAATATAAAGTGAAAAAAAAAATACAAATAAAATTTCCTCATTACCTTGTGCGAAACTTACCTCTGATTTGTGATTTTTGTCCGATTTCATATGAACACTTCCTTTGAATAAAATTTGTTCCGTATTATATGGAAAATTTTGTTTCTTACTTAATACTTATCACCAAAATATAATTTGATCAAATTGCAATGAAGGAGGAACGAAACTATTACAGCTTAAAATTTTTTATACTTTCATTTAATAGGTATATATTTTATATAAAAAATTGATATTGTAACTTGTCAATGTTTTGATTTTCTGTGAATACGTGATATATTTCTGGATTCAAATATTTGAAAATAAAAGTTTTTATAAAAATAAATATTTAGTAACATGTGTTTGAGGCTAGAAGTAAATAAATCAATAGTATTAGATAAGACTATTACACACCGCAACTTACAAGATCTATTTAAAACCATTAGCTTAAAGAAATGCCCAACGTACGATTAAGCAACAATGTCTGATTACAGTAGGTAGCAACAGTTACTGTAATCCAATTTTTAGTTCATTAACGTTTCTATCCTGGAACTTTATCGGGAATACTTTAGGATACGTCCATCCGTGTCTTTTTCATTAAAAAATTATTTTTTTTTCGTTAGCCTGCGTCCAGGCTTCGCTGATATTTTTGATATGGTATATGTAGCTACTTCAGTCAGTGCATCAATTGCTTAATCATGTGTTGGATAAAAGTTTTCATCTTTAACTACATTAAATTATCCTGACATTAAAAAGGAATTCACATATAATACTGTAGTTTAAATTTTTTTTAAATTGAATTAAATGTTTCGATCTCGAAACTCCACCTACCAAATGCTATATTTTCAGTGGTAAGGGTATATAGATTGTGAAACGGGTTTGAAGAAACTATTATATGTATTGTTTTCTTATGATTTTTGTGTTTAATGGAGCTAAGAGGGTGCAGTAATTACCTAACTGTCTTGTTTAAAAAATCTTGCTAATGAAATAGTATTGGAATGCATTTCATTGTTTCAACGCAAAAGTATTTAAGACCCAAATGGAGCAAAAATATTGTTCCCCGTAGCTATTGTTCCTCGTAGCTACTACAATTCCAAAAATCTCCACTAAATTTTTTTCGGTCAATCGATGATCTCTGATGTTGAGGTGGTTTGTGGACATTTTAAACGTGAATTATTTCCAGGGCTTGGGTGACTACTTTTATAACTACTAGTACATTTACAGTCCGTAAGTGATAGTAATGCTTCTCAGAGACTATGTTCGCCTTATACGCTTTATTTTTTTACAAATTTCTAAAGAAATTTCTCCCTAGGTTAGGTTATTGGTGCTGTCGGAAGACTCACTTAGACCATGAGGTCCATTGTGATACCCTAAACAATTTGACACCTGTCCCTATAACCACAGGTGTCACAGGTGGTACTGGCCATAAAGCCACTGACACGAGCTATGAAAATAAAATCTAGCTCTCTTAGTAAATTGAAAATGTGTGACCCTAAATAGGAGAGTCTATGTCTTGCGAAAGCAGGACACTGTAGCAGAATGTATATTAGTGTATTTCTCTCTCTCTTTACAGAAAATTTTATATAAATATGTATGAAATATATTTTCTTATTTCACCCAATTTTTTTTAAATAATATTTGTTAAAAAATTCATTAATTAAATATCAAGTTGTGATGGCTTGAAATCTACGAATCGATAGACCGAAATGAAATTGATCTACGATCTAGTAAAGTTGATGGTACTCCAGAAACTCATTGCACAATATGGGGCGCATATTATATTTACATAAATACATATAGATATATACATATGTTATATGCCAAAAACAGTAACAGATCAACTGGATTGTTATGTTGACTTAATAATTCAAATCATTTTAGATATGAATCGATTAATGGAAGATGAATAATATAAATTAAAGTCATATTTTATTATTGATGCTTATATCAAGTATTTTCTAAATAAAATAGTCAATGTTAAGGATAAATAATGCTAAAAAAATATATGATTTAAGTCGAATCAAAAAAACTGCAAATGTGATTGCAATAAAACTGATTATATTTAATTTATTTTAATTTTTTTTGTATAAACTCACCTGAATTTTTTTTTCCAGCACTAAGTATTTTTAAATCACTAAAGGACTATAAGTCTTTAATTAAAAACATTTAATCTGTACAAAATTGATTTTTGAATGAACACTTATTTTATTTTTCACACAATTTTAATATCAAAATATAGTTTCTTCAACTAAGAATAGAATAATTTAAAGACAAAAATCTGAACCAAAGTTGATAGCAACTATAAATTCAATAAATTTAATTTAAATATAATATGACAAGTAATTTTTCAAATTTCTAATTTTCGAAGAATACGTAATTGAAAAGAAAATATATTTTTAAAAATTAAAATTTAAATAATAAAATTTAAATACAAAAATTTATAAAATTCAATTAATCAGTTACATGAATAAAATATATTTTAATCACACCTAATTGTGAACCAGCATCAGAAGTTCAGAAATTGAAGTAGAGATAATGCAATATGTGAAAGACAGACTTAAATAGCATAGCTCTAAAACTTATAGTAACCTCTATCGAACGCATACTTGTGCCTTATCCTCCTTTTTCTTAGTGAATATGTGATTAGTAAAGTCTCTAAGGCCGGTAATCTGTAATAACTGACTTAGTTTATTATTATTATTATTATAATGACGTTTATAAGTTTCACCTCAAAAATATAACTTTTGTTGAGGAAGACACTTTCTGAAGACACTATCTAGAAGAAAAGGATATATATTGTGCCAATATCCAGCACTGGCAAGAGACTGACTATCTTGGCATATCATTGTGTTGGTGATGACTTGGCAGCCAATTTCAAGTTAAATGAACTGCTTACGTTAACAACAGATATATTTATGTTAATGGAAGCCACATTAAACTTAAGTCAATAATGACATCCGTAAATCGAAGAACGATAATTAACGTAAGTCGTTTTGTGGTCTACTCGGGTTAATTCTTCCTTTGGGGCCATTTTATGGACGGTTCGTTGTCCCAACGGCCCACAAGAAATATAATGGTGCTTATGGTATTGGGTATCACACTGTGATACTACGGTTATTACGTTTTCTCAACACCCATTGGTAAACACCCTCTAATTCGTAGGATATGGTTTCGTCTAATATATTATGAACTGAATATAATCTATTAAGTCAAAATAAAAAACTGAAAACTTAAGGTTTGTTGATTATAAAAGTTTCTGATTATCTTCCAACACAATAAGTTCAAATAATTGATGTACTCAGAAATATTACTACATGGTTTTCTTAAAATTTTGCCTACAAGTACAGTAATTCTCTGATAGAGGATATTGCCCTGACTACTCGAGTGCTTTCTTGAGTATTCGTTCAAAGCAGTAGCTGAATTGATTTATTTTGATTAAAAAGCGCAGATCCGCTGGAACTTCAAGTCCCTGTAAATAATACCTATTTTCAACAAAATTTATATTTCACTGCAAAGTTTATGGTATCAAGCATTTATACATATACCACACCTCAAAGATAGATAAGAAGATGTAATACTATTATAAAATCTTTTAAATATATAAATGATAATATAATTTTGTAATTAAGTAAAATTTATAAATGTTATTTACTTATATATACAATTAATTTTTTAATTTTATGTACTTGAACTTGCATTGCATATATGTTATCAGAAAATCAGAGCAGCATCCTTTCCGTTTTAATTAATAAAATGAACATACTTTATTGGAGCATAATGAAGTTTAATTATGTCATTATGCGAGTGTGTATAAATCCAAATAAGACTAATTAACGTGAAACATGCAGCTTAATATGTGCACTTAGACAAGAAATAAGACACATAAATGCAAAATCCTGTCATAATATTTAATATTTAACCTGAACAAGCGCTGAGAGCGTTTCTGATTATAATTTATGAGTGGAAATGAATGCAGGAGTGTGTACAGATTTAAATGGAATGCAAACCTTCTTTCCATTGACATAACTCAACACTTATGCTAACATAAAAAGCTTGTATTAATTACAAGATGTACTCAGTAGTACTTATCTCAGCATGAAAATGAATGAATACACAAACCAAAGGAAGTCAAAAACGAGAGGTCGTAAAGGAATAGAAGGATGGAGCTGAGTTTCATCTAAAATGTTTGGCTGTTTTTTTTTTTTAATTTTTATTTTATAATATATTAATTGCATGTATATATTATTTTAAGATAAAATATATTAATTTTAATTATTTTGTACATATAACTATAATTTAATTAAAGTTAATTAAATAATGAGTTAATTAAAATAAAAAGAAAACTCATTAATTATACAGACAAAGACAGTTCGTTGATAGTTGATTATTAATTTCTAACTTAGTAATCGAAATTCGCAAAGAAAATGGATGAATAGATGGATGGGTGGATGACATATGCGGTAAATCTTGGCTATCAAATACTCTAAAATTAAATAATTATTTTTCGAAAAAATTTATTTAATAATGGAAAATTTTGAGGAAAGTTTTTTTTGGCAGGAAAATTGCTAACGATAATCATCATTCGCTGATAGAGGTTTATATTGAGGATAGGATAACGAAAACATTAAGTTTTGAGTAATTTCAACGCTTCTAAAGTGGCATCAAAGACATCAAAGCTATCAAAGACGCAGCGTAAGTTCGTCAGCCTGAAAGTTGGAAGATACGGAATTGAAGGCATCATTTGAACAAGATTCAGTTTGAAAGCAAAAAGAATTTACAAAATGAACGATTATAACATAATTCGATGACAATTTTAAAGCTTTTAAAGTCGGTGAGATTTATTCAAAGCGAGGCAATTCGATATCACGTGAGCCAAAGCTTACAGAAGTCAAATAAGTGTGTATTATTGTGCAGGTGAAAGACTATCCCGCTAATAAACGATTTAGAGAATATATCTCATTTATTTTACAGCTCAGTTCTTGGATGTTCTGACTACTATCAACTTCATTGAGACAAGTGAAAGACTATTCCGCTAACAGACGATATAGAGAATATATATAGAGAACATTTGTCTTACAGTTCAGATCTTACATATTCTATCAATAACATATACTATCAATTTCAGACAGGTGAAAGACTACTCTGCTTATTAACGATGTAGATAATATAACTCATTTGTCTTACAACTCAGATCTTGCATATTCTATAGTCATACTATCAATTGCATAATTTCAT